TATCCCAGCTGAGCGGGGGAGCAGCCATGTGCCACCATGGCTGCCATTGGTCTGTGGCAGAGGCTCAGCTTGGGGGATGGAGACAGCAGCAGGACAGGGGGTTTTCCCAGTCTTTCCTGGCCTAACCCAAGAGATCTTTGGAAACCCCCTGGACAGCTCTGCTGCCCCTGTAGCACCAGACCCCGTCCTTTGTGGGGCTGCTGCTGCCTGCACTGGACAATGCCCAGCTGCTGCTGGGTAAACTGGCAGAGCACTGGGAGACCAGAAAGGCCCTGCCAGGGGAGCGCTCAGGCCAATTGCTCACAGGGCAGCATCTCCGTACTGTGCTGACTCAGCATCTCCCCATTCCTGGGGGGTCTCATGCCCTCCCTAGCACTTCTGTGGGCAGTTATTCCTGGAAACATACTGGGGTCACCTTCAATCATGCCTTCATCTGCTGACATTTATAGAGCTGCTCCCAGCGGCTGATGGATTTAATAGTGTGAATCTCCCCCCAGACCTAGCTCATGTTTATGCCTTTCCAGCAGTGGAGTCTCTCATTGCTCCGCTGTATGGTGAGTGCTAAAAGGAAGGTGCGGCCCCAACAGTTTTGGGCTTCTGGGCAGGCAGATCTGTGGGGGCAGAGCCCAGCGGTACCCATCTTCTGGCTAATGCCTTGCCCACCAAGCTAATCCTCCCCTGGTGTCTCCCAGCCATTTCTGCTTCTCAGATTCCTCCCTCTTGGGTGGAGGAGCCATAGGGCTGCCAAATCTTGCAATACTCAAACTATTTCTTAAAGTCCCAACTCCTGAAATGGTGGGAGAACTGGAGGCTCCCACCATCTGGTGGCTTTTGTTTCTTTAAGGAGTTTCTTGTCCTCTTGCTTGTGCATAAAAAACAGGGACCAGGAGCCTGCAGCCATGCCAGGGAGCAGAGGACGGGCACAAAACCCAGGCAGACCTGGGCTGCGGAGCAGTGGCTGTGGCTGCTCTGTGCCCGGGGATACCCAGACCTGCTGGGCAGCTGTCAAAAGTCCCATGGGATGTAACTCCCCTGTTCACCCAGCAGCCTTTCCAGCCACAGCAAAACCCCTCCTTCGCCTCACCACAGCCCAGCTGGCCGGGCCAGGCTGGTGGATCCTCTGTAGCAGCCCTGAGCCACCGTGGATGCTCACTGGCAGCACATACCACAGCTGTGAAGGCATTTCCTCCAGGGAGTTATTTTGGGCATGGCACCCTGGGACAGGTGCTGGTCCTGCTGGCACTATGGGAGGATCCCGTGAGAACCAGGTGTCACCCGCAGATGCCTGGCTTGAGGAACCCAGAGCTCTGCTCTGGAGGGGGTCAGTGCAGCTGAGCCATACTTCAGTGCTTGGCACACGACTTGTTCTGGATCACAGGTCCAGAGCTGGGTGGCACCCGAAAAGAAGCTGGTATTAAGACAGCTCAGAAAATAGTAAAAAATAAGCTATTCTATTAATTAACATTACATTTGACAAAATATTAGCATTATGAGCAAGTGTGCTGATAGAGCTTTAAGATGCCCAGCAAGGCACAGACTAGTTTAATTACTTCAAATGAGGAGGCAAAAGCACTACTGAACCCCAAATCTCCTGTGCCAGGTGCACAAAGGCCTCCAGCCTCACCCAGTGCTGAAACTCCTGTGCTGTTCCCAGTACACACAACCCGAGACCCTGCTGCCATCACCTCCATTTGGAGTGGTTTGGAGGCATCTTGAGTACCCCAGTCAGAGTAGGGGCGCAGGACTGCAAAAAACTCAGTTGGGTCACAGCCCATGCCAGTGACAGGTGATGGTCTGGGCCACAAGCCAAAGGGGATGGGAACCTCCCTTCTCCCTGTGCATTGCCAGGGTGGCAGGGCCAGGCAGGCCACCACCTCCAGACCCCATTTCCCTTCTCCTTCTGGTGCCCCTCAAAAGCACTCAGCACTGGGCACAGACAGAAAGGCGCAGTGCCGGGCGCTGGGCCATGTGAGAGTAAGAAGGGGACATGAGGATAAAGCAGAACTGTTTTTATTGGAGGTGTCAAGAGCAGGAACAAAAACAAACCTACAGGCTCCCCTCCTCAAGTGCCATCCTCCCCCACCGCTACCAGGGCAGTCAGCATCACATGTGCGTGCTACAAGACAACGGCAAGGCTTACACTTTGCTTCAGCCAAAAGCCAGACGAAGCCCCCAGCATCCCAGGCACTGCTGTCGCCCCCTCCTTGGCGACTGCAAGCTCAGCTTGGCTCTGCCAGAGGCAGGGCAGGACACTGATCTTCCCCTCCCAGGAGGGACAAACTTTGTGTGAGGAGGTTTTGGTTATGGAAAGGATAGGAGCACAGCTCCACTGAAGTGCCAGGGGTAAATGACCTGGGCTGCAGCTCTCAGTGGGACATCTCAGAAGACCCTGGGGGAGAGCAAGCTGTGCAGCCTGAGCAGAGCTGCAGCAGCCACAGGCAAGAAACGGCATTGCTAAACCCTGAAGGGCTTTGCTGCCCCCTCTCTTCAACACAAACCAAACCGAAAGGGAGAGGGGTCAGCAGACAAATCAAGAGGGGAGGTGAAGCAGGTCTGGAACGGCATTCAGCTCTGGCTCATTTCCCAGCCCGCCGCTCCTCCTGGTGCTTGGTGAGGATGTATTTGAAGAACTCGTACACGGACCAGGCGATTGCTGTTGAGGGCATCTGATAAATGACTCTCGCCTGGACCCCTCTGAAGTAGGCAGTCAGGCCGCCCACTTGGTACACCGTCCTGAAGGCATTGGCCATGCCTGTGATGTGTCCGCTGATGTTGGAGCTCAAGGCCAGGGACTCCTGGGTGTTGAGCAATGTTTTGCAAACGTCCAAAGGCGTTGTGGCAGCGGCAGCGACAGCCCCCGCACAGGCTCCAGAGACCACGTGGGAGCCCGGGTTGTACTGTCTGTGGGGGTTGAGCTGCTCTTGCAAGAACTCATAGGTCATGAAGTGAATGGCTTGGAAGGGGATGTTCATGGTGAGCTGGGTGGTGTAGCTGCGGTAGAAAGCTCCGGCCCCTTCGTTGCGCCACACAGCCCGCACACAGTCCGACACACGCTGGTAAGGCGAGTTGTACATCTGCATCCTCTGCTTGACCACTTGGGACAGACGGCGGCAGCCAGCAGCAGCAGCATCCAGCAAAAGGCACAGAGGGGAAGAGGAGAGAGAAAGGGTAAGCGCGAAGCCGGGCTTCCTGCGAACGCCTGGAATTTAGTCACACTGGCTTAAGACTGGCTTAGCTACTGATGGACAACTCGGACCAGCAGCGCCCTGTGTGTCCCCAGGCAGGACTGCAGCCATTTACATCTGCCAAAGCATCGCACAGACATCGTCACAGGCAAACGTCACAGCTGTCGCAACCCCCAGGAACATCCCGATACCCAGGTGCTCATACTCCACATTCACCCTCACTCCCAAGCAACCAACCTCTCCCCATCCACCGCTGCAGAGCTACCATGCAGTCAGAACATCTACATCTACTTTCTTAATTTCCAGACAGCACTCCCTCCCCAGCTGGCCCTGCTGCAGCCCAGAATAACCACAGCACACTGCAGAGCCCACCAGTAATGGCTGCTGCTGAAACATGGCCACTCTGGGGCAAGAACCAGGCACCCAAACCATCCCCAGCATATCCAAGAGCGGGGCAGGTGAGCTCCAGGGAAGGAATGCCAACGGCCCGGCCAGGATCTGCCTGCTCCTCAGGGTCCCGGCCAGGCAGTGGGCAGGCAGGAGCCTTTGCTGGGCCCAGATCAGCCGGAGCCTGTGCTGTCATGAGCTCTCCAGTTTTAAGAGGAAAAAAGACGTTCACGACTGGACTTTCCTCTCCATTCCTCCTTCTCCCACCACGTTCATAGGCTTTCTTTACAAACTCCCTCTGCCTTTTTGATACATACCAGGCTCAACAAAATGAGTATTTCCCAGACATTCCACACACATCTCCCTTCTCCCAACTCCTCTATCATGCCTTTTGTACCCCACGCTTCCCATTTTCTTCCCGAACACAGGCCCAGAACGGTACCACATCTTCCTAAGATCTCACCACAGCAACGCCCAATTTCCACACTCTCAGAATGAATTCAGCAGCATGGATCATCCCTTTCTCGCCTT